TTAAATTAATTATTTAAATGAAGATAATTCATTTCGTAACTGTTTATGCTTGGTTTGTTACTACTCTGAACAATTGAAAAGCATATAGAAATCTCATATGGAGTGGTGACATTAAAAAGAATAAACTAGTGACTGTGTCATGGAAGATCCTTTGCAAACCTATTCCTCCTGGGGCCCATGTATCAGGTCTCTCATTTATTTAAGTGAATAGATCCTTTGGTTTCATTAGATACCACATGTATTATTCATCCCTATGGTCAGGGGCGAATCCAGACTTTATATATTGGTGTGGCTAAACATAAAAGAAATTATCGACTAAAATATATTGAAAATAAAAAATAATATTGTTTGATGAAGTGTATTTACAATGAAAACCGTCTAGTATCAATTTCTTGAAAATGAGCTAAAATAACATCATTGTTAATTGTTCCAAGAACATCTCTTTCTATAAAAGTTACAAGACGATCATTTAACCATTGATCACCCATTTTGTTACATAGTTGACTCTTCACAAACTTCATAGCTGAAAAAACACGTTCCACGCTCGCAGTTGCTACTGGCAAGACTAAAGCCAACTTCAGAAGCTTATAAACTATATCAAAAGTGTTGCATTTTTTTGTTTCCACAAGTTTTGCACAAAGATCTGAAAGTCCGTTTAAATTTGCAAATTTTGGATCACATCGAACATTTATAACATAATTCTGAAGTTGATGTCGTATCGCCACTTCCGGCACATCTACAAAATAATTTGGATAAAGTTCAACCATCCTCGATAATTTTTTCACATCAAAAGATTCAAATGATGATGAGGGACTCAAACATGAAACACATTGTAAAAGTTCAGTATTCTCTTCATCAAACCTAGCATTGAGCTCATGCAACTGCAAATCTAAAACACTACATAAACAATCATGCTTATAATGATGCAAATTAGAAACACTAGAAGTGATAGCATGTCGTCTAGGTTTCTTCCCTTGCACGTACGCTGCATCCAAATCAGGCACATCAATATCATGCTTATTGCAAATTTCCATAACCTTAGATATAAGTTCTTCCCATCCATCATTTCTCATTTCTTGTAATTCCTGTTTGGTGGCTTTGACAAGTGATAAAGCATTCAAAATATCTTGATCACGCTTTTGTAGCACTACACTTAAATCATTTGTAAATCCTAAAATCTCAACCATCATGTATAACATGAAAATAAAATCAAAGGACTGAAGCACATCTAGCAAAAGCATAGTTTCACCATATTTTTCAAATGACGTATCTTTCCCGACTTCTTCAAGTACCTCAATAATGTCACCATATAAAGTCATCAAACTAGTGAGAGTCCTAAAGTGGGAACCCCAACGAGTGTCACCCGCTCTAGCAATAGACGATTCTTGATTTAATCCACTACCAGTCTCTATCTCACCCTCTTCAATCAATTTAGCAAATTGAGATACTTGTTTGTCCCGAAGCAATTCTTGTCTCTTGTTAGAAGACCGTATGAAATTAACAAGCATATTGACCTTACCGAAAAAACCACTAACATCTTTGTGAGTCTTAGCACATGCAACAAGTGCTAATTGAAGTTGATGGGCAAAACAATGCACATAATAAGCTGATGGATTTTCATTTTGAATTAAAGTTCTCAAACCACCAAACTTACCTCGCATATTGCTAGCTCCATCATATTCTTGCCCCCTTATGCTAGATAAACTCAAGCCATTAATAGACAACAACTTCTCAAGTGCCTCCCTAAGTGACTTAGCACTTGTTTCTTTAACACTAACAATCCCAAGAAACCTTTCTTTTACCAAACCATCACTATTAACATAGCGAATAACAACAGCCATTTGTTCTTTACGAGCAACGTCACCAGATTCATCAATCAAAACACAAAACACATCATCCGCAATATCACATACAATTTGTTTAGTTATTTCACATGCATAAGCAGCAGCAAGATCCTTTTGAATCTTAGGGGCAGTCATAAAGTTATTTCCTGGAGCACAATTTATTACCTTAGCTATCTCTGGGTTAATTTCCTTTAGAGTGTCCACCAACTCAAGAAATGGCCCCTTAAATAAAGAGTTAAAGGACTCGTCACTCCCTCTAAATGGCATGCCACACCTCAAAAGAAACTTAGTAGCTATAAGAGATGTGTTTACACGAACACGATATTCAGAATTCATTTGTTTAGTTTGATTAACAAATGCAGCCTTAATACTTTGGTTTGGGTTCATGAGAGCGTAACTCATATGCACACAATCAATATGACTATTGGAAGAAGTTCCATGATTAGCCAATCTGTGAGAATTCTTACAATCACCAAACCCCTCTGTCACAAAGTGATCTCCCCCGTATTTAGAGATATTCTTAAACAAAAAACATGGCAAGCAAAATGCCAGGTCCTTAGATTCACTATAATCAATCCAATCATACAAATCAAACCAATTTTTGCAAAATCTACGTCTTTGATTACCTTGAACAGACCAAGGGTAAACAAAATTGTAAGGAGGTTTATGACGACCTATTTTTAAATAAGCTTTCCTTACCTCATTTTGGATGTCAGGATGATAGCTTGAAATTGGAGGCCTAATTCCTGGATCGGTTTCCAACAATTCATAATCGACAACTTTAATACTCTCACTTGGATGTTGAGTTTCCGATGCTTCTAGATTTACCGAAGAAGTAGCTTTGTCTCTAGAAAGCACAGGAAAAAATTTCTTCATCCTATAAAGAGAACAATGAAACCATTAAAATTATCTATTCACTCTATAAAGAAAATAATAAGAACAATTTATTGTAAAGAAAATATTTATGAGAAATTGAAAATTTACTTTTTTAAAACAAATTGGGGTTTTAGGGTTCAACTCAAATAGAACAAAAGAATAAGAAAATTTTGAAGTAGTTAGTTTACCTTTGATTTTCAATCACCCATAAACAATGCAAAATGGTGGGGTTATTGGATTAATGAGAGAAAGAGACAAATATGGAAGTTGGTGGGGTTTGAGAAGAAGAGAAAGGGTTTACTGTGTGAGAGAGAAAGAAATAAAAGAGAGAGAAAATTAAGAGATAAAAGTGAGTTGAAGAGTTATATAATATTAAATATTAAAATTAATTAATTAGTTAAATATATATTAATATTAGAAAGAAAAAAAAAATCTGGTGTGGCTATAGCCACACCTAGCCTAAACATGGATCCGCCCATGCCTATGGTCTAATATCAAAACAAAAGTCAATGTGATCTATGCCAATTCAGTTTGGTTCACTGGGAATGGTTTTTCCGCTTCTTTTTGGAAAAACCGTCAATGTGGTGATCCTCTTTTATCTCTAGTTGACTCTAGTTTGCTTGCCTCACAAGGAATCTCACTTGGTGCTAAGCTAGCTGAGTTTTAAACCTTCCCTCTTGATTGGTATGTTATTTTTCCCAAGGTCTGCCTTAAGCTAGAAATCATCAATCTTCCCTCCGAAAATCTGGAAGATCAAATTGTCTGGAAGCATTATTTCTCAAGTAACTAGGTTTTGAAAGATGCTTACATTTTCAAGACGCCAACCTCTTTAGCTCTAAACTAGGGTAAGTCCATTTGGTCTATTAATATTCCTCCTTCCAGATATCTTTTGGTTTGGACACTAATGCATAACAAGGTTTCTAGTGTTGATATGTTTCAAGTTAGAAGAAGTTACTTGCCCTCTATGTGCTCTTTATGTGAGTCAAATTTTAAAACTACAGGTCCAAGCACAAACATTTTTTTTTCATCTAGCTTTCATTTATCTCGTCAATGTCATTTGAGTGTCTAGAAAATATGTTAGGTTAAAAAATAAAAGAGTGTCCATGAAATTCTTCACAGCTCAAATTAGGTCTCAAATAAGTATCACTGACATCAAGACTTTCTTTTTTAATTCTATATCTCAGTTTGATGTCATGTTTGCATTTAGCGTTCCTAAAAAAATTCATTAATGCAAGATTTTATGCCTGTTATGCTAAAAGTAGTAAAGTTACACATGATAAACCTCTCCCTCACTATAATATATATTGTAGGTTCACATTATATAACAATAAACAATTGACATGAAGATATTAAATAGGATGATATCATCTTGTACTTATTTTCATGCATACTAGTAAATGACCCGTGCATTTGCACGGGTCGCCGCGTAATATCGTTTTTTTGTCTGAAGTTATTAGGTTTTTTGTTTTCTAAGTTTATATGTAGAGTTTAAGAACTAAGAAGTACACCATTCTATCTTCTCTTATGGAATTTTGTATATGTGATTCTATTCTACTAGTGTAATCAATTTACCTATCTTATGAGAAAAATAAATTTTGTGAATAAAAAAGTATAATTAAGTCTATAAAATATTTGTTTGTGTTTGTATGATAGACATGTTCGGTTTATATACTATTTTTCTGAGTTAGTATGATAGACTCGTGTGAATGCAAGAGTCTAATAATATGAATAATAATAATAAATAAATAAAAATATTTTAACAAAAAAAAAGACAAACAAAGTAGTTAGTTGAAAAATGTCAAATTTGTGTTTTTCATTATAAAGTTGTGTTTTATATATATTATCATTGTCTCATGTTTTTTATTAAAACAAATATTCATAGTATATTTAGTATAAATATTATCTTTTTATCATTAAAAATATAATTTGCATAAATATATAATTATTTATAATTTTAATGTGCATACTTCTTTTCATACTTATTAATGGCTTATTAAATAGTTTAAGATAAAATTAACAAAACAAAGAGGCCTTATTAAATGTGAGGCTCTGAGCAAAGGGTCTCTTTGCACTGCCACTTAACTGGCCCAGTAATACATAGAAGAAACTTACATACAAAGAAGTTAAAGGCACACATAGAATAATCTTACTCAGTGACTAATTCACTAAATGGCTAATTTGAGTAAGACATGACTCATAATAATATTAAAACAAACAAACATAATATCTGCCTCTCAAGTCACTCAACACAGACGGTACATAACAAAGTGGTAGAAATTTTCAATCTTCAAACACTATCTCGACGTTATTGATTTTGACTTGTCCACTCCCACATTTTGGAACCAATGTAACCACAATATTATCATCGCCTTCGACATGCAAATCTTCCAACAAATCAGTTATACCAAGTCTTAAAGAAGTAATAATCTTCTTGTTCTTGTGTCCATGTGCGGAATGAGGGATATTCACAAAGCTTCCAGCAAACTCAGTATTCCCTGCCCCAACCTTATCATCTTCATCATTAATATAAACATCAAACTTAATGGCTATATTCATATAAAACTCAATCCCCTCAATCACTAAAACCTCTTCCTCTTCTTCCTTCTCTTTCTTGCTCCTTAACTTCTTTGGCCTCTTCACAATAGCACTCACTTTATTATTCAAAACCAATGGAAACGTAACGTATTTTCTTGGACTCTGTTGTCGAACTTTTAAGATAGTCGGTGATTTTCTTAAGTTGCCATCATTAACCTTAACTTCCACCAATTTTGGTACTGTTGTTCTTCGTGGCACAGGTTTAGCATTTTCCCATGGAATGGGAACATCTTGATAAGCATAACCTAGTTTATCTATGTCAAGACTGTCCTTCACATTAACCCTAACAAGATTCTTGTTCTCATCATAGAAAAGAAACCCTGATTCTAACCAATCTTTGTCAGTGAAATCATGTTTTTTCCCACCAAGTGTTTTCCATATATACCATAACCTATCAACGTTGGAATGGTGAGAGTAAAAAATAGGATCTCTTGCAGCTGAATAGAAAATTCCCATGTCTTCAATGTTAGTTTGAGTATTGTCACCAGTCCAAGTATGAACGGGTGCATGTGGAACATTCTCTATTGATCCAGCTCCCTGGGGTTCTGCATCTCCAGCACGATAAGGGTTTCCAAGGAAAAGTCTTGAGGTTTTTCCATTGGAATAAACTTGTCTATACATTATAGAAAGATTAGTTTTTATTAGTTCATCTCCATGTATATCACTATCACTGTCACAAAAGTTTAAGTCTATGAGCGTTGGAGGTTGATGACTCGCATTTCGGAGTTCGTCATAAAGAGGCGATGCCTTGTCGGTGTAAATTGAGGGAAGTTGCATGCCATCAGGAGCATCATAGTTCCAAAATGGTAACGCAAAGGTTGGATCATTGATCAAGCTGCCCAAGATTCTTTCATAGAAATAAAGGTACCATCTATGAAAGGGAAAAAAGAGCCAAGAGCCATGAACTTGAAGTTTAAGGTCAGGGAAACCAACTTGGGAATATGCACCATCACAATAAGCACAATGGATATTTGCTTGTTGTGTGAAGTTACGTGGATCATTGGAAGGTAAGGCTTTCATGAGTTCAGTGGCTTTTTTGTATTTTTCTAGAAACTCATTATCGACTAAATGTGCTGCTTGTCTTACCCTTAAGGGTTGATTTGAAGGGAATTTGAAATCAGTGATTTTTGTGGAATATGGTGGACAACAATTAATATTTGGAGGTGTTGTACCTGAGGGTAGATCAGATGGTGGAACACATTTGGATAAGTCTGGTGGAGATATTGGAGAAGCTAGGGCAGAAGGGTTTGTGGCCAAAGTACCATATATCCCTCCAAGGCCAATTAGGACATTTCTCCTATGTCCTACAATGTTTGATAGTTCTTGTTCTTCTTTAGGGTTGTTTTGGTTATTGTTACTACTACATGTCACTTGGCGTTTTGGTTTTCTAAGTTTAGAAGATTGGTGTTGTTTTTGTAAAAATGGATACACGGAGGAATGGGAAATCTTTGAGTTGGAAGAGACATTGATTGTTGAAATGAAGGAAAGAGCTGAGATAGATGTCATGGTTTAGCTATGCGATTTTTTTTGTCATGAAGATATAAGAGTTTCCTAGTCCTTTTATAATGAAAAATGAACTAATGAAGATATTTCTTACACTTTGCACGTGAATATATATGATGGTCCTTTTAATAACATGGACAAAATGTTTTGTTTAGTAATGGGGTCGGCTATGTCTAAGTTCAATTATACTTTGAGTAAATTCAAAGGTCTTTATATTTTTTTAAGCAATATCGTGCGCTCTTTAACATTTTGACATCTCATAAGAATATTTTCACAATATAAGTTTATTAATGCACTCTTACAAATAACACTTGTAATGTCGAATGTGAAATACGTTTTATCTCGATTATCCGGGTGAGATAAATAAGATCGTCATGAAAAATCTCTACTTAACATCTCGGTGTTTTAAACACTAAGGTTATAATTAAAAAGGTCATGGGTTCGATGTGTAATAACCGGCAAAAAATATACAGTTGCCACTATTAATTTTTATTCTAAGACGGAAAAATACACTACATGAAAAACTTTGTTTAGCCAGGGGATATTTTCCATGGGTAAAACTCCTCACTAATTTAATATGTTGTTTGGGGTTAATCCCCTCGCAACACAAAAAAACAAAAACAAAAATATGACAAACATTTGTCAGTGGCAGCCCCTAACAAATTATTTTTGTCCTTATTTCTTTTTCATTTGCCAGGGGTAGCCCCTAACAAATTATTTTTGTCATTGTTGCTTTTTCATTTGCCACGCGCAGTCTCTAGCAAATTGTTTATGTCATTATTGCTTTTTCATTTGCCACGGGTAACCCCTAACAAATTATTTTTGTCATTATTTCTTTTTCATTTGCCACGGTTAGTCCCTAGCAAATTGTTTTTATCATTATTGCTTTTTCATTTGCCACGGGTATCCTTTAGCAAATAATTTTCTAAAAAACATAACGTACATCACTCTTTCTTTCACTTTCTCTTTTCTTACTCACTTTCTGTTTTTGTTTCTTACTTTTTATCATTCTCACTTTCTCTTTATCTCATCTTCTCTATCTCTCTCTGACACACAAACACACTTTCTCTTTCTCTTTCTCACTCTTTATCTTTCTCAACTATATGAAAACACAAAAATAAATGAAGAACATGAAAAAATGGAGGAAGAATGTTCCAGATCAGTAGATGGTGCGCGGAAGTTGAATCATCAACGCAAAAAAAGTATTTTGGATTTGTTCTGGTTCTTCTTCTAACTTCTTTTATTTTTGTACACTTTTCTGTTTTTATGATATTATTGTGTTTTGTGTTGGGTTGACGTCATTAGTTGGGTTAATGTTGTGTTTTGTGTGGTTGTTGTGTTAGATGTTGTAGCAATATTTTGTGTTAGATGTTAGTAGTTAAAAAATGTTTTAAATATATAGTTTAAAAATAATATTTTTTTAATACGAACCTTTTTAAAATATTTATTTAAAAAACAGTTTTATATTAGTAGATATAATTAATTAAAAAAATAAGTTATTTTTAAACAAAAAACAAAATTAAAAACATTATAAAACTATCATTTAAAAAATAGTATTATTAAAAATAGTATTATTAAAAACAATATTATTATAAAAAGATTATTAAAAAAAGATTATTAAAAACAATTATATTAAAAACAATATTATTAAAAATGATGTTATTAAAAACAGTTATATTAAAAACAGTATTATTAAAAACATTATATCCTAAACAATATTATTTAAAAAAAAATAGAATTGTTAAAATATATTATAATTATTGTCTTATTATTATTATTTTTATTCTGTTAATGTTATTTTTTTTATCATTATAAACTACATTTTGCCACGGGCTAAACCCATAGCAAACAAAAAAGTATTTGCATTTTGCTAGGGGCATAACCCGGAGCAAAAGTTCTAATGCAACACAATATTAGCTGATCCCCTAGCATGCATCTATGTGTGTGTGTGGCAGCATGCAAAATATATTTTGCATTTTGCGAGGGGGTATGCCCCTGGCAAAATGGCGACATTGGAAGCCCCTCGCAAATACATTTGCGACTCCCTATTTTGCTAGGGGATCAGTCTCCTCACAAATTTTGTATTTGTGAGGAGTTTTTGCCATTTGTGAGGGGGTAATCCCCTGACAAATAACATTCTTTCTTGTAGTGATAACATAATAACCCTAATTGATGATGTAGAAATTCTAAGTTCTTGACTCATTTTAGACGAAGAGAAGGTGCTAGGCACCCTTCATCTACCTTGTTCACAAGGATACTAGGGTTTAGGTTTAAGGTTTAGGAATATGATTTTAATTTTATAGTTACAGGAACTCGCCTAGGTTTTTAAGTCGCGTGCCTACATATTCAGTTATGAGGAATCAGAGTTCAAATTCGTAGTTCGAAGTGTTTGGTTAGTTTTTTTTATGGATTGTGGAAATATTTTGAATTCTCCTTGAACCTTGTCTGGTTTGAAAATAACAAAATCGTAGATGCAGTTCGTGTCATACCCCAAATTTTCCTGCCTATTTGTCTTGTTATCTATAGCCGACTACTCAGTCATTTAAAAGTGATTAGGTATAGAAATTTAAAGTATCTCTTTGATATAATAAATAAAATTATTATTTAAAAATATTTAATTCATTTATTCATCATCTTTGTTCACTTTATATTTATGCTTAATTTTTTCCAACGTCAACTTATTTAGTTTTGCTTATTTAAAAGGTATATAATAATTTATTATGAATTATTTATATATTTATTTTAAAATAACAAATATTATACCATCCTTTGAAATTTTAAATGCTACTTTTATTTGAAATAATTAAGATAGCACAATTGTTAAGGGAGCATCGGTAAGAATATTAAGCATAAGATTGCAGGTTCGATTCTCATTGTGCTACCTTTTATATTTTATTGTTCTTTTGTGTTTTTTTAATTAAAAAGGATAAAAAAGTCATTTTTAAATTATTTTATTATTATTTTTCATTTTCTATTTTAAGGCTATTTTAAATTTATTTTTTATTTTTCAAATATTTGATTTTTTATGCACTTAATAGTTAAATTTGGAAAAAATAAATAAAATATTTTCAAATCAATCTCAATATTTGGAAGAGTCATAAACAATGCTAGATTCATAATCTTTTTTACCAAGTTATGGACCAAATTTCAATCAATTTTCAATCTTCAAAATCATGCCAAAAATAGATCAATCTCACTTGGTGCACTTTGAATATTTTTTGTTACTAACTATTTCTATTTTCTAATTATTTTCAAAATCACAAAAATCATGTTTTTTATTATTTAAATATTATTTTCGTATTTTTAATTAATATTTTTTAAAAATAATTATTTATTTGATTTGATGTAATTTTTATCAAAATTGAGTGGAAAATTATAATAAATACCAAAAATATTATTAGATGTTTCCTATCAGTCAAGGTGTGTCAATTTGTGTTATAACTCACTTCTGATTGGTCAGCTTGCTGACCAAGATAAAATCATAAACTTTGGGCTTTTTTTGGTGTGGACTATTTCCTTTTTGGGTTGTCTTTAACCTAATTTCAAATCTATAAATAAGGCTCTCTTCACCCTAAATTTTTCATCGGCAACCATTTGAAGAATCCATAATCATTTGCAGATAAAAAACTCACTAGAGTTCACCTAAAAGTTGTTGTTCTTCACATCGAAGAACAACAACAAAGAAACCCTGAAGTCTCCATCAACCGTCATTTGGAGATCAACAATCTTATCAACAATTATTTTAGGATTCTGAACAAAATACCTAAAATTTTTCTCAAAGATAGAGGGCGAGTTTTCTAACACTATCATACTCAACCTCTCTCTCCAAATGCTTCACGTCAGGTGCCACCTCTAGTTTTTCCTTTTTTTGCTTTGATGATAGAGCTATTATTTTGGTTTTGATTCAGATTTTGGTGGAGAAAGAAGGTAGAAGGAGAAATATTGTGAACGTGAGAGAGAGAGAAAGAGAAGCTATGTTTGGTTCTTCTTCTAATATAAGTTATTTATATTTTTATTATAATATATATTGTTATTATAGTATGTTTTGGTACTATAATATTGGTTGTTATTATAATTGGTGGCCATTGTAAATCAAATTGTGTTGCTACTTAGAAGCGGGTGGCGATACGTCTCCCCTATCCTTCTATTGTTGCTTTTTATTATTTATTTATTTTTATCAATTAGTTATTGTTACTAATTTTATTATTTATTAGAATTAGGATTATTGATGGGCTTGGACCCTCCTCTTTTAATCCACACCCCTCCACGTATTTGGGTCAAGTTCAATGCCTGAACTTGGGCCCTTATTACTTACACCCCATAGAATTACTACCTAATACTATAATGCACCCCCTGACCTTTTCGGGTTCAAAATTACTTTGGACTCATATTTCTTTTTATATACACCACCCAACTCTAATTTTTATAACCCTTAAACTTAATTAATAAATTCTAATTATTTTTTTTAATTTATTAATATTCTTTATCTATTTAATTCACATAATATCTTTAGCATTTTGCATTAAACATATTTTTTTGTATAATTATTAATAAATAATTATCTCATCTGAAGAAAGTCAAATGTTACCCAAAAGTAAAACTTTGACCTCTTTGGTCAAATTTGAAGATTCCAAGTCAATATATCATAAAACAATTCAAGATCATCAAGCTTGATCATCAAGAATCAAGAAGATCAAGAAAATCAACAACAGTCAAAGTTGAAATATTTTCAAGTACTCTGAGAAAATTCAAGTGTTTGGTGCCTAAAAAATCTTAAATTCACAAGCAAGTTTCCTCAATATGCAAGCTGATTCAAGAAAAACTTTCAACATGAAAATTGTAGGGAATAATGAATCCTACAACTTTGTCAATATGGGATGATCCTCAAAAAATTCTTGGATTAAGAGATACGGACCCATGAAGATTTGTTACTTTTTATCCAACACTTAGATATATTTTTGATCAGTTTTTCACCTCAACTTCATGGAAAATTTCCATCAAGT